TGTGAGCCAATCATCAGCTGGCAATCTGAAAGGGCAGGGAAACAGCCCAATGAGCATCACTGCAGAGGAGCCAATCAGCTAGATGTTGCTGGGGCTGCTGTGAGCCAATCATCAGCTGGCAGTCTGAAAGTTTGCTGGGGCCCCTTCGGCTGTGGCTCTCAACAAGTAGTAGCTGATAAGTATGATAAGATGTTTCAGGCACAAATTTTGTACAATTCCTGTCCCAGACCTGGACTTAGTCTTTTCTCTATTAAGTTCTGGGTTTTTTATTTGCATTGTAAATAGTATTTCAGCACCACTAAGAATGTCATTGCTATTTTTTTGGTCATTGCTTCTAGATCTCTCCAGTGGACAGCTAGGAAATTCTCTATCATGTGGGGKGTGTGTGTGTGTGTGTCTGTGTGTGTGTGTGTTTGTGTATATAGTCATGTGTCAACAACAGGGCTACATTCTGAGAAGTGTATCATTGCACAATTTTCATTGTGCAAACATCATAAATTTATACAAACCTTGGTGGTATAGCCTATTACTCATCTAGAGTATATATACTATCATGTATGTGGTTCCTCATTAACCAGAACATCTTTATGTGGTGCATTGATTGTATATACATATATGTATACATATATATGCTTTATCTCATATTCTATAGAAGATATTCAGAAAATATCAACATTTTCACCTAAATGATTACTGAAATTTATATGTGTATCATATGTGTATATATGTGTGTGTATATATATATATATATATATATACACACACACACACACACACACACACACACACACTTACACATACAAGCACACACAAATATCCATCTACAAATATTCTGGGCAGTAAGTAGAGAAGCCATTAGTGAGATTGTTGTTTTTAGTAAGTATTCCCAGCAGAGATTTATTTTATTTTATGTAGTTTTAGAGTCAGTGCATGGCAGCATAGAGCCTATAGGTCTGAGTACTTATGCATCATCCACTGGAAGAGAAGAATGGAGGAGAGCAAAGATCTAACCTATAAAGCTTGTTGTAGTAAACAGAATGCCTAATGAGAGCAAGGTGTTAAACTAGGTGCCTGACATATGTACCCTTACACCATGCAAGATAGGCAGTGAAGATAACTATACAGTTGAAGTACAAATTATTAGCAACTTCAAAATAAGGGCATAGATATTCCTTGAAGAATATCTTAAGCAAATCAGTTGGCATGTTCTTTGTTAGCTGATGATTCCTTAAAAGCTAATAGCAAAACCCAATGTGTGGTGGTTGGGAAGAAGAATGAGTGCAAAGAGGAGACTGAAAAGCTGATGGAATGGAGTAGAGAGTGGAAGCTGCACATAAAGGAGTCAACCAGGAAGGGTGTATAGTTCTCAGTATTCACATGGCTACTAAGAAGAAGATTAGAGGGAGAAGAGGGCTCTGTGTCATTCCTGGCCCCACTGAACTTCTAACTAAGGTCAGCTAATTTGTACTTGAACAGGGCTTTATGATGTGTGACCTTTTGGGCACTTGGACATAGCACCATMGTTTAGGTGCTTCATAAATAAGTTCTTCCCTCTATCAAAGGTTCATAAATTAATATGCTCGAGGGTCATTACTGTTTTTTTTTTWAAAATTAACCTTTTACAATTCAGTGGTATTTAGTAAGTTTACAAAATTGTGCAACCATCACAACAATCAAATTTTAAAATATTTTTATAACACAAAAAGTTTCTATATGCCCACTTGCAGTCATTCTGTATCCTCACTCCAAGCCATAAGCAATTACTAATCTGTGTTCTGTCTCTATATTTCATATGAATGGACTGTATTCTTGTTGGTGTTTTTGCATCTGGATATTTCATATAAATGGACCACATTCCTGGTAGTGTTTTGMATCTGGCTTTTTTCACTTGACCTCATATTTTTAAGATTTTCTATGTAAAATAAATAAAAATTAAAATAAAAAGGGAAAAAATAAAGATTTGTCTGTGTGATAGCATCATCAGTTATGTGCTACAATCTTTTAATCAGCGTATATAAATATATGATATTTTGAGATCAGTAGCAGTTTATGGCTCTGGTTTTCTAAAGTACCTCTGTTTCATAATATTATCTCTTTAATTTTCTCCCCAGGATTTGGTTGCTTTTGAACATCAGTGGACTAGCTTCTTCGCTAATTTTGATACAGAAATTCCTTTCCTGCTAGAACTTTCAGAATCTCAAGCAGGCGAGGTATGTTAAGGGAAGGGTCAATGAAAGAAAGAATTATTAATTTATTTGTTGTTTTTATTAAAATTTTTTTTCCAAAATACACTATCAATCCTATATTATTGTTGTTTTGTAATTTGATTATCATTTTCTTAGATTGTATTATATGCCATAAAGAAATTCACCCCCCTGCCAATCTCTATATAAAAAGTWGTTTGGGGGCTGTGGATGTAGCTCAGTGATAGAGCATTTGCCTAGCATGAGCAAGGCCCTGAATTTGATCCCCAGCACTGCAGAAGGGGTTGAGGGTGTTTTGTCTTTTTTCCTGTGCCACCTTCTCTACTGGATGTATATTCATTTTTCAGTATGGTGGTGCCTTTGTCAGCCAGAAATTCTGTTGACCACTAGTTAATAATTTCTTCACATATCTCTTTCAAATGTCAAACTGTCTTTTTTTAACATTTATTTTTTAGTTGTAGTTGGACTCGATACCTTTATTTTATTTATTTATTTTTATGTGGTGCTCAGGGCCAAACCCAGGGCCTAGGTTTGCTAGGTGAGTGCTAGGTGAGTGCTCTACCGCTGAGCTACAACCCCAGCCCCCAAACTGTCTTTTATAAAGCAAAGAACAATAGTGAGAAGTTACCAGTTTCAGACTAAAACACTCCATGAGTAAACTAAAGTATCTAGATTGAGAACCAAAAAGTATAGACAAAAAAAAACTGTGCCTTTGTGTGTATATGTCACAGAAATTAGTCAACGTGGATTAGAAGAGCTCTCCTGAATTGGACAGGGCAGAGTGGTGGAAAGGGTGGGGGATGGGAATGGGAATGGGAAAAACAGTAGAATGAATTGGACATAAATTTCCTATGTTCATATATGAATACATGACCAGTGTAATTACACATCATATATAACCACAAAAAGTGGGAAGTTATACTCCATGTATGCATGATATGTCAAAATACATTCTATTGTAAAGTATAATTAAAAAGAACAAATTTAAAAAAAAAGAACAACTCTCCTGAGCTTGCCCTTGAGTCCACCTTGGGCTTTTACCACCAGTACTCAGATCTCTGGTGGCCCAGAACAATCCCTCCTTCTCCTCCTGATCACTTGGAGCAGGAGTTGATTTTTTTGTGGGTTGGTGGTGGTGCTGGGGTTTGAACCCAGGGCTGCCCACATGTTAGGTGAGTGCTTTGCTACTGAACCACACCCCAGCCTCTTGAGTTGATCTTAGTGTGAATTTTCTTTTACTTATGTTGTAAACCCTAGAATATATTGTTATTGTTGTTTTAAACAATTATCTATTTTAAAGGTTTACTGAATAAGAAAAGTATCTTATGTCTTTTTCCACGATATTACTTTCTCTGGTGCTCTTTCTTCCTTTGTGTAGACCTGGATTTCCATTTGGTATCCTATTTCCCTAAAGACTTTTCTTTAACATTTTTTTTTTTTTGTAGTTCAAATCTTATTCTGATGAAATCTTTCAGCTTTTGTATGTCTAGGAAAAAAAAATCTTGATTTCATTTTTGAAAGATACTTTTGCCATGTATTGATTCTAAGTTGACAGTTTTTTCCTTTCCAACATCTCAAAAGATGTTGCTCTACTGTCTCTCACTTTGTTACTGATAAGTCTTTTTWAAAATTTTATTCGTTCTAATTAGTTATACAGGACAGTAGAATGCATTTTGACATATTGTATACAAATAGAGCACAACTTCTCATTCCTCTGGTTGTACATGGTGCAGAGTCAYTCTAGTAGTGTAATCATAAATGTATATAKGGTAATAATGTCTCTCATTCTACCATTCTTTCTATTTCCACAGCCCCACCTTGTTACTAATAAGTCTTTCATCCTAATCTTTGTTTCTCTGTACATAGCAGAGAAAGTCCCTGTAGCAGATTTTTAAGATTTTTCCTTCATTACTTGTTTTGAGTAATTGGATTATGATATGCCTTGCTGCAGTTTTCTTCATATTTCTTGCATGTGGGTTTTGTTGAGCTTCTTTTCTTAGTTTGGTGGATTTATAGTTTTGTCAAGTTTGATAATTTTTTGTACATTATTAGTTCAAATAGTTTTTCAGCTTCCCGTCTCTTTCCTTCCAGTTATTCCTAAATTAGACCTCACAATTTTCACACACTTCAATGGTGCCCTTCAGCTTTTTGCATTCTTTTTTTCTTTCTCATTACTGTGATCCTAAGAATGAGAGATATTCAAAAAGAGATAACTCAGAAGTATCACTCTCTAGACCTGGGAATGTAGTTCACTGGTAAGAGTATTTGCCTAGTATGTATGAGGCCCTGCTGGTTCAATCCCTGGCACTACAAAAAAAAAAAAAAAAAAAAGTGTCACTTTTGTTTCTGACAGGTGACAAACCTTTTTAATTTCTGATTTATCTCTTCTATTTCCTTTGCACAAATGAACAGATATGTATTTTTATATCTTTCTTGCATTGAGGAATAACAAGGAATCATTTCCACTTTGCTTTCTTCATTTAACAATATATCTTGGAACTCTTTCCAAATCAGTTTGTTGAGATTTTTCTCCTTCTTTGCTACAATTTATAATAAATACTCTATTTTGAAAATGAATCTTAATTTATTCAGGTACTCTTTTATGTATATATATTTAGGTAGTTTTCAACAGTCTGCCATTTGCAAACAGTGCATAATAAATAACTTCATGCTTATCTTTCCATAATGTTATACACACACACACACACACACACACACACACACACACACACACATACACCTCTAGGAATGGGATTTCTGGGTCAAAAGGTAAGTACATACACAATTATGTTAGCTATTGCCAGATCCCCCTTAAGAAGGATTGTACTAATTTTCATTCTTAATGATATGAGAGTGCCTGTTGCTCCATAGCCTCACCAATAGAATATAGGGTCATACTTTTAAATTTTTCCTCAGTCCTAGGCTGGGGATGTGGCTTAGTAGTAAAGCACTTACATAATGTGTGTGAGGCCCTGGATTCAATCCCTGTATCACAAACATACACACATACAAAAATTGTTTCCACAGTCTTATAGATGAGAAATGGTATCTCAGTGTTGTTTTAATTTAGGTTTCTCTGCTTATAAGTAAGTTGAACATCTTTTACATGTTTAGAGTTATTTATATTTTGTTTTATGTCTTCTTTTCCCCCCAATTTAATATTGATGCAGTTTTTTTTCCTATACTAGGGATTGAACTCAGGGCCTTGCACATAGATAGCAAGTGCTCTACCATAAGCTGCACCCCSAGTCCTGGTACAATCTTGACTGAACAAAAGAGCACAGGTTATTTAAGAGCATAGGTTTTTAGGTCTTTTGTCCCTTAGTTTTAAGGAGTTCTTTTTATATATTCCAAATATTTCTTCCATGTTAATCACACTTGCTTTACTTATGGAAACTATTTTTATTTTTATGTAAATATCAATCTTTTATCATCTCTAAATTTTAAATCATTGTACAGAGAAAAGTTTTTTAATTTTTTTTATTATTTTAATTTTTTTAATATACTATAGTAGTTGGGTAATTTTGACAAAATAATACATGCAAGGAATTTTATTCCAATCCCCATCAGAGAAAATCTTTAATTGAAGGTTAAAGAGTAATTCACCATCTAGTATTACATGGTTTGATGTTTTCCATTTAGGTCACTAATCCACAAGGGATTTTTGATGTGTATGGTGTGAGATACAGATCTAATTTTATCTTTTTTCTCTATGATTACTCAGTTAAAATCCCAACTATGTAATTTGCTAGCTCTGTCATCTTGGTCAAGTCAATTAACTTTTCATGTCTTAGTCAACTCATCTGTAGAGAGGAGATGATGATACTGTGAAGCTCATAGGTTATTAGGATTACTTAAAAGTAAGTAATTGAAGTGTCTTTCACAGTTCACATGGGAAGCCCATAATAAATTTCAACTATTATTATTTTAAAAGTGTTATTATAAATTAACAACACAAATGCCAAAATTCTAATTGATAAATATCTAAACTATATATAAGTAACAAAGAGAAATCTATATGGCCACTGAACATATAAAAAATACTGTATTTCATTAAAAAATTAAAGGGATAGGTGGCACATGCCTGTAATCCCAATGACTCAGGAGGCTGAGGCAGAAGGATCTCGAGTTCAAACTAGCCTCAGCAACCTAGTGAGGCCCTAAGCAACTCAATGAGACCCTGTTTCCAAATAAAATATAATAAGGGCTGAGGATGTGGCTCAATGATTAAGCGCCCCTGAGTTCAATACCTTATACCCCGCCCCCCMAAAAAATAGTCAAAAGGATATAAAGGGCTGGAATTGTGACTCAGTGGTAGAGCATTTGCCTCACATGTGTAAGGTACTGGGTTCAGTTCTCTGCACTGCATATAAATAAATGAATAAAATAAAGGTCCATCAACAATTTTTAAAAATCTGAAAAAAATTTTAAGAGGGATATAAAATAGAACATAGTGATCATTGTGGCATTGATCAATGTGGCAAATCTCTTTAAACCATTCCTTAGGCAGTGCTGATGATGAGACCTAGAAATAGGCGCACTCGGATATTGTAAGTGAAGGTGTACATTGACAAAACTATTTTGAAAAACAGTTTGGTGATATAGTTCTGCCTATTTGTTTTAGAGCTGTCTTAGGAAATATTCAGAGCTCCAAGTTATTCATTACACTATTAATCTTGATATAGAAGARTTAGTAACAATATAAATTTCCAAGAATAGAGGACTACTTAATACACTTAAGTATAATCATATAGAGTCTATGAATGTGCCATAGAAAAAAGATTTCAATGGCCAGGTGTGGCAGCACATCTTTCTAATCCCAGTTACCCATCTCAGTGGGAAGGATTGTAAGATTGAGGCCAACCTGGGCAACTTAGTGAGACCCTGTCTCAAAAATAAATAAATAAATAAAAATWAAAAATACAAAGGACTGGGGATGTAGCTCAGTGGTAAAACACTTGCCTGACATGCACAAGACCATGGGTTCAATCCCCAGTMCTCTCCCACCCCCCTCAAAAACAAGAAGGAAAAAAAGATTCAAAGAAAATGTACCAAAATGTTAATGGTTCTTAGAGATTACAATGGTGGTTTTTATTGTGTTCTGCAATGAACATATACTGTTTAAATAATTGGAAAAAAACACAACAAGTGTTCTCTAGAGGTATTATAATTGCTGTTTGAAAATTTGAACTCTCTGGACACTAGACCCCGTGTGTTTGCTTTGGTTAGTGTTTAGCCTAATGCTGTGTATCCAAAAGCTGAGAATTATTTATTTGATTTCCCAGGAAACTTCTGTCATTGTACTTCTGTGTCCCTTGTTGCTCATTTTAAATTAGCATATTATAATTAGTACACATTTATGTTTTGGAAATTTATTTAAAAAAAACTTCTTATATATAAGGGGAAAAATCCCTACAAGATTAGCAATTTGGACAATAGATGGTGGTTGGTCCAGTGTTCTTTCAATAAAAACTATAAATTTGAAAAGAAAATTTTTCTTTACTTTTGCAGCCTTTTGTCTTTTTTCTTCACTTTTTTTTGCTATGTGTCCTCCAATTAATGTTGCTATCCACCACACATATCCTTCCATATTCTTAGAATAATCTACTGACATCTCTCTTTCTCACACATACATTCTACATGCTCTTTTGAGTGTATGTGTGTGTGCACATATATACATGTATGAAGGATTTCTGATTATTTTATAAAATTGTGCTCTTATATACAATATTGTCTTCTTTTTAGCCATTCAGAAGTTACTTCAGTCATGGAATGATCTCCAGCCATATAACTGAAAACAGGTAAGGTCCCCAAGGGAAGAAGTGTGAATGATGATAGCAAAAATGGAACTTACAAGCAAGGTGAAATTTGGGAGCATTCAATTAGAGAACCTAGAGTCAGAAGAGTATGGCTTTAGTCATCACAGGGTAAGAAATCCTGTACCCTGTAAATTCATTGGTTTCACCGCTTTTTAAAAGAATATGTATTTTATTTTTCTGTAATTTTATAGTAAACTAGCATTTTGTAGAGGGGAGTTACTGGGGATTGAAATCAGGGTCACTCAACCTCTGAGCCACATCCCCACCCTTATTTTGTAAGGTCTCACTGAGTTGTTTAGTGCCTTGATTTTTGCTGAGACTGGCTTTGAACTTGCAGTCCTCCTGCCTCAGCCTCCTGAGCCTCTGGGATTACAGGTGTGCGCTACCATGCCCAGGTAAACTAGCTTTAAATGCATTAGAGCCTGCTAAAATCTAAATGAAGGAATTTTGATTCCTTGTCCCTAGCTTAGGAAAGCAAGAGTAAAAATTCAGGGACTGGGCAGGAGAACAATAGTGGTTTGTGGGGAGTAAAAGGGTCTCCTCATGAAGAAGAGGGGAACAGGAAGTGTTCCAAAGTTTTTCCTTCATTTTTGTCATGATCAACAGGAAGTGCTTCCTCTGATGGATAAAGAAGATAGATCTTGGGCTGGGCATGTGGCTCAAGCGGTAGCATGCTCGCCTGACATGCATGTGGCCCACGTTCGATCCTCAACACCACATACAAAGATGTTGTGTCCGCTGAAAACTAAAAAATAATAAATATTAAAATTCTCTATCTTTTTTTTTTTTTTTAAAGAAGAAGATAGATCTTTACTCTCTTCTTCCCTCAATCACAGTCCACTCTAACAGTAAAACAAAATACCCTGGGGGGATTCAGACTCATTCTGTTCTGCCCAAAATATCACTTAGCTTGAATTAAGTTTCAGAAGAAAAATCAGTCATGTTTAGTTTTCAAAGCCCCTATTTACTTGATGCCTAAGGTACTATTTCAAGGGGAATGAAAAGAAATGCAAAGACTTTTCTATACAACACACATTAAGAGCACTTTAAGGAAAGGGTGGGGGATAAAGAAAACTATCTTTTAAAATATATCTCCCATCAAAAATATTTACTACAACATATCAAGGAAGAGAAGTACATGGTTAAGAAAATAAATAAACCAAATATGTTTTCTGCTCTCATGGAGTTTGTAGTATGCTGAAGAAATAAGACCTTAATTAAATAAACTCACATAGAAATATATCATTGTGAACTCTGATTAATGCCATGAAAGAGAAAAGAACATTGATGGTACTGTGAAGAGAGTCTGGCCTCCTCTGGGAGAGTTGTGCACAATGAGTAGAGATAATTGGGAGAAGGGAGAAGATGAGAGGTCCTGAAACAAGAACATAAAGGACATAAAAAACATGAAATATCCTGGAATATGGGAGTTGGAGGAGAACTGCCTTGCATGGAAATGAAGACATCGACTAGACCTTACAAACCCTTGTTTGCCATTTGCAAAATTTTGGTACTTCTCCTGAGAATAACAGGTAGTGAATGCTTTGCATATCTAAAAGATTAATATAACAACCAGGTGCAGTAGTGCGTGCTTGTAATCCCAGTAACTCAGAAGGCCGAGGCAAGAGGATCCAAATTCAAGGCCAGCCTCAGCAACTTAGTGAGAACTTCAGACACTTAGCATGGCCCTTTCTCAAAATAAAAAATAAAAACACCAGGATGTAGCTCAGTGGTAAAGCCCCCCTTGGTTTCAATTCCCAGTACAAAGTATATATATTATCACTGTTGGAGAATAGGTTATAGAAGGGTAAGGGTGGATGCAGTGAAACAGGAAACGTTGCAGTTATTAAAGGAGGAAATGATGGCAGCASGGATTAGGGGTTATGGCCATGTGGTTGGAGGAAACTAAATAAATGGTTTTCAGGAGGTTGATTTGATTTAGGGGGTGAGGAAGCACAAATCCTTTGGGTTTGCCATAGTATGCTTCATGTGAAAGTCACTTGGTGACTTTTACAACAGCTCTATGAATGAAATGACTGAGGAGGGGTTGATTAGAGTGAACGAGGAGTGAGCAGAAAATGGGAGGGAGGTAGAATTCAGCCGAGAGAGGGAGTAAGARGATGGACAGGTAATGAAACTATTTGCAACCCTCCTCTTATCCTTTCCACCTGAAATTACTCAGAAGTTGGTAATTGCTCTATTGTCTGCCTAGTCTGATCACAGCCACTATYATGCTTTAAAACCTGTATTTCTATTATAATACTGTCATATAAAACTAGGGTTTTGCTTCATCACTATATTATGCACATAAACTTTTAAGGAACTGTTCCTCAAAAGGTAGGTTAAGTTGAAAATATAAGTCTAGTATGGATATAGTTATGTTCCTCAATGACTAATCCCTTTGGGTCACTAGTAAGAGTCGCTTGGCATCCCTTCCCAATCAGTCCAGGACATTAGGTTCAGGACATCAATCAGAAAAATCCAAGAACTCACTCAGGTCATAGGAATCTGTTTTCTAATCACATGTTTTTCTTGCTGCTCTAGCCCTAATCGGCAGCCATTTGTACTCTTTGGTAATCACTCAACTCGAGAAAAYCTGAATGCTGGAAACTTTAACTTCCCTTCTGAAGGGCACTTGGTACGCAACACTGGTCCTGGTGGGAGCTTTGCTAAACACATGGTGAGTGGCTGGACTGCCTGGTGCCTGCTGGACAATTAGTGCATTTATTTAACCCTGAGTCTGACGTTTATTTTAAAGTGAAAAATGATTGGAAACTGTATGTATATAATATGTTTTATGTATATATAAACACATTTATATTTATTTTAAAATATATAACATTTATTTATAAAATATAAAAATAAATATACAATATTTATTAGTACTAGATGTGATTTGAAAACATTTAACTTTGAAGTATTTGAAGTAAAAAAGATTAAAAGCAATTTTAATAGTCACACCRAGCCTAAATTTGTGATGTTCTGGCTTATATTTAAGATCATAAACCTTGATGATCTTTGTTCTCTTATTGAGAGTGCCAGGGAGATTTCTGCATTTGATAGTATGTTGTCTGCTACATTCTTTAAAAGAGATCATTGAACTTGAATGTGGGGACTCTAATGAATGTGAACATTTATGCTATCTTAATGGAATGTTAAATATTTTTAAAAATGTTTCTGGCTATCAGGAAAGCCAGAGTTGTAGGTGTTGTTATTTTTTAAATTTAGACTTGGAGAATGTGTGACCCAGGTGATATAGTTTAGTCTCTCTGAGTTATGATTCTAGAACTGCCTCTGAGCCAGCTCAGGATATAGAGCTACCAGAAAGGATGGGCTGTCAGGACTTTGCTGTTCTGTCAATGGAGGCTCAGACCCCATTTTAAATCCCCGAGTAGTTTTGGAATACACAGAAAATGCCAGATGGAACAGGCTTCTCTGTGTAATATTATTTGTTGAATACACAAATTAAATAAATATAGGAGACGATTCTGACTTCTGCTTCTACAAAGATGGTGTATAGTGTATACAYGCTTTATCTCTCATTAAATACAACTAAAAACATGGGACCTTTCATATAAAACAAACACAAATATACTCTGAAAGGTACAGAGAAGGAAGCAGGATGGCTAAAGACTTCAGGAAATAAGATGGTAGTGAATTCTTATGTTTTTTATTTCCTTATATCCAGACTGGATATTCAAGAATATCCAGATATATTCAGAGGATCAGAAAAGGTACAGCCTAGTAAGACAGAAAACTTTAAGATAATAACTGCTCTATATACAAGCCCTACAGAAAAAGTACACCTCTGCCCCAACCCTCCCCACAAAGGCTGAGTGGAGACCCTAGATTTCCTTGTTTGCCAGATTGGGGTGAGCTGCCATCCCCACCCATATTCTGCTCAGGATAGTGTCATAGAAGGCCCAGTGGGGAGCCTGAACTTCATAGTTATTTTAAATTCTCTGTCCAGGGCTGGAGACATAGCTCAGTGATATAGCATTTGCATAGCATGTGTAATACCCTGGGTTTCATCCCTAGGACTGCAAAATAATAATAATAGCTTCTTCCACCCCACAATATAGCAAGAGGGCTCTTCTTGGGGCAGTATCACAGGTGGCAATGGGGAATTATATGACTTTTATCACCACTGAGCAGTAGCAAGGCCCCTTCCTTACCATAGTGTTTGTTACCCTCCAAACTCTGGGATGGTATCAGCTGAGGCAGAGTGGGGAACCTGAGCTCCCACTGATATAACCCCCGCCCAACATGCGCATGCCAATTGTCAGTAGCAGCTGAGTGGAGAACCTGGATTTGCACTCCTACCTGGTAGTAATGAGGAGGCAGGTCCTCCTGCTCACCACTGACATAGTGTTGGAGGAGGCCTTCTAACATGTTAAGATTTCAGTAAGATTCAGAGAAGACTCTCAGTTTCAGCTCTGATGTGTAAAGAACTTGGAAATTATCCCTATATTTATAAGAAAAAAGCCAAATAAATTGAAAATCAATGACTTTTCTTGGATTCATGAGAGAACTAAGGTCTCAAGGCAAACTGCCACTCTGAAGTCTAGAGAGATAGGTAAATCCAGAGAATCACAGCCAGTGTCTCCGTACCTGCAGTAGAAACCACTGATTTTACAAACTTGTGGGAACACTTAAATAAATGGTAATTGTAGTGAAATTCTGCAGGTAGAAAGTGGACTAGTGTGAAAGTGAGAAACTCCTGGGGGACATAGGATTGTCACATTTCCATGGGTTATGTTAGTTGAACCCTTGCAGGTTCACATGGTAAAGAGCAAAACAAACCAATTCTCTTATGACTGGTAGGGGAAAAAGAAGAGWAACTGTTTTGAAATATAAGGAAGATAATAACAAAGGCCTCAATAGCAAAACCTACATTCCAGGATAAACAATTTTACCCAAACCTTATTCCATTGGGTAAAAGGGCATTTCTTTGATCTGTCACACTCTGGCCTTCCTGACTCACCTAGGAGAGAGGGAAAAGAGCTAAGAAACACTTGTAAAGGTCAAAGCCTGCATATACAGGCCCATTCAAAGACTGAGATTTAATCGCAAGATTATAGAATGCTTTTCCTACCCCATTACCTTAGCACCACTGCAGCAGGTCTGCAGTTTAATAGCAGGTGGTTAATAGCTGCAAGGCACAAGAGTATATAAGGGGGAATTCATAGGGAAACCCAAAGATAACAAGAGAGACAGATCTAAGGACAGTATAGGAATCAAAACACCTGGCACAGAAAACATTGAACAGAACCCAACTCTTAGGCATGTTAACATAAAATCTCACATTTAAAGACTTATTTCCCTTGGTTTCTGTTATTTAATATATCATGTCTGGCTTTTAACAACAACAACAAAAAATCACAAAGTATTCTAAAAGGCAATAAAAAACATGGTGTGAAAAGCTAATGTGACCCTCAGAACCAACTTGTATCTCATATTTTATAATTTTTGGACAAAAATAATAATGATGATGATAATAGCTATTATTATTATTATCATTTTGCAGTCCTGGGGATGGAACCCAGAGCCTCACACATGCTGTGCAAATGCTGTACTACTGAGCTATGTCTCCAGCCCTGGACTCAGAATTTAAAATAGCTACGGTTAATATGTGAAGGGCTCTAATGGAAAAGTAGGCAATATGTAGGAGTAGATGAATAATGTTAAGCAGGGAGATGGAAATTAAGAAAGAATCAAACGGAAAGGCTGGAACCAAAAAAAGTTATAATGAAAATTAAAAATGCCTTTGATGGATTTATCAATAGATTAGTCATATCCAAGGGAAGAATCAGTGACCTTGAAAATGATGAATCAGTAAAAACCTCTCAAACTAAAATGTAAAGAGAAAAAATAGTTGTATTTCAAGGTAATATATTCATCTTTTCCATTTTTGTGTGACTTGTAAATAATTTACAATTAATAAGTGCCATGTAAAATGTGTAAACCCAGATAACTTAAGCAATTTTACATTATATATGAAATTGTCTCAATTTACTTTTTAAAGTAAATCTGATGTTAATATGTGCTGACTCAAATTTATGATATGACCTAAGGAAGCAGATTTAAAACACATGGCACCTTAAAAAAAAAACCTTTAGTATGGAAGAACTTCGAAACCCAAGAAACATGCTTTAAGGAAATAGCCCTAGATTTTAAAAAAAATGTATTAGCCAACAGTTATGAGTAGGTACCATGAGTTTTCCTTCATTGTCATTGGCAATATTGATCACATTCACTATACTGAATATTATAGAGAAGAAGTTCTCATTTCAAATCTGTACCTTGGATTCATAGTATTATGGTAAGATGCTGTGTATTCTCATGTGACTTCCTTAATTAGAAGAAATTATTAGTCATGAATATTTAGCTATTTTTTTTACATATTATACTAATTTACATTCCTTTTTTCTTATGAWGGCATGTTTTTTATTTCGTACCTGCTCTCCTAGGAACCTACAMGAGATATTGGACATCCATTTATATCTAGAGATATTTATATAGATATAAATGCACATCTTTTTAAAAATTTTTTTGTTTGTTGTAGATGGATAGCATGCCTTTATTTTGTTTATTTTTATGTGGTGCTGAGGATCGAACCCAGTGCCTCACACATGCTAAGCAAGTGCTCTGCCGCTGAGCTACAGCCCCAGTCCATAAATGCACATCTTAACAGGAAAGAATAATAAAAATCTTAAAACCTAGAAAAACTTACTTTCTTTTCTACAAGGGCTATATTCAAAGATGAAATCCAAATGAAGGTGGGGACCTGGGTTTCCTGATTTTATASCTGCCCCATGCCTCTGCCTGTCTTGTGGGCAAAGGTCTTTACATGAAAGCTCTGGATTGAATATTAATGACCGTCAAAACACCTTTTATGTTTTTCCTTCTGAATTGTGAATTCATTAGCATAATGAGCTAATTGAGTAGCTGACAGCAGCCTCACATTCCAGCCAAGGGTGGAACAGGGGGACCCTACATATACACACAGAGAAGATACTTTTGGAAAAAGCAGAATTAAAGGTGATCTTCTCCTCTGTTTCTTTAAAAAAATAACGTATCAAGCCAGGTGCAGTGGTGCCTACCTGTAATCTCAGTGGCTCAGAAGACTGAGATAGTAGGATTGCAGGTTCAAAGCCAGCCTCAGCAATGGGGAGGTGCTAAACAACTCAGTGAGATCCTGTCTCTAATAAAATACAAATATTGGGCTGGGGATGTGACTCAGTGGTTGAGTGAGAGCTCCTGAGTTCAATCCCTGGTAYCCCMMMAAAAATAATAATAATAAATCAGTTTTGGTTAAATAAGTTTTATTTCCACTGATTATATGCTTTTTATTTCTCTAGCAGTTCATACTTAAGTCTCTGCTACTTTTCTTATTTTTAATATTTTCTGACATGCAGGTAGCACAGTGTGTCTCACCAAAAGGACCTCTTGCATGTTCAAGGACCTACTTTTTTGGAGCTACTCACATTCCTTACTTGGGTAAGTCCTTGGAAATCATCTCATTAACTTACCTAGTAAATGGTTTCTCCCATGGATGAGAAGTTAACATAAAATTCACTGCTTTGCTTAGAAACTTATGATACCAATCTGTGAGAYTCTTACTCCCTCTCTGGGGAGTTACTGTGTCTAACATATTACTCACAGAATATTTCAGAAGCAAAATCATTGGTTCAACCTATGGTTTAGAGSTCTAACCCTGTGTAAGACCCTGGACTCAGTGTCAGAAGAAAGGTCAAATAAAGAAGATCTAGTTTGAGATAGTAGGAGATATGGGCTACAGTGGGAATATGAATGACTTAGCTGGGTGAATACCTGACTGTTGTGAGAAATGTGACAAAGGGCCATAATAGAAGAGTACCCACAAGCTGGGCACATGATGTGGATGTGGTGCTATCCAAAAAGGCCAGGCTGACTAGAGCCTCTCTGCTTGCTGAGGTATCCAGAAGCTGCAGGCATAATGTAAAGAATGAATGTGTTGCCAGGCGCAGTGGTGCACACCTGTGATCCCAGCGGCTCCAGAGGCTGAGGCAGGAGGATCTCAAGTTCAAAGCCAGCCTCAGCAATGGCAAGGCACACTGTCTCTAAGTAAAATACAAAATAGGGCTAGGGATGTGGCTCAGAAGTTGAGTGCCCCTGAGTGCAGTCCCGGAAACCCCCACCCCTTTAGTTCAATCCCAGAYACCCCCACCCCCACAAAAAAAAAGAGAATGAATGTGGACCCAGAAGATAGAGTACATCAGAAGCCAGATTTTTTTCCTGGGTATTGTCAAATAAGCCAAGAAACTCTGGAAAAATGCCCTTCCCTTCAGGAAGTCCCAATAAAAAGTCTCATTCCTATAAAAAAATTATCTTGAGTCAGATAATTAATAAAATTAAGAAAGAAACAGAACTGAGCCTGTTTACCTCAAAGTTTTAAAAGTATAAACATTCTGGAGCCTAAGATTCTGCACATTTCTGATGTTTAGGTAGTGGTGCTAAGTAGGATGTAAAAGTAGGAAATGTCAGGGTGAYGGTCCAGGAGGATAGTGGAAGAAGCCAGGTTCCATTGTTGTTTTGTGCTTATACTGTATTTAACTTAAAAGAAAAATAAATGTAGTTCTTGGTAATGTCTTCAAATTAAATTAAGCAGGTGAGATGGAACACTGTTGTAATTCCAGCAACTCGGGAGGCTGATGCAGGAGGATCAAAAGTTGGAGGCCAGCCTCAGCAACTTAGTGAGACCCTCTCTCAAAATGAAAAAAACAAGAAGGACTGGGGTTATACCTCAGTGGAAGAGCACCTCTAGCTTCAATCCTGGGTACCACAATAGATAGATGTATAGATAGATAGATAGATGGATAGATCATTTCCACTTCCTTATATAGTGTTTGCATATTCTGTGCTCTTGTCACATTCTTAATACATGTGTTCTTTCACAGGTGGCAGTGACAAGCTGCCCAAGAAAACTGAACAAATGTAAGTCTTCATATTTGTCTTATTTTTTTCTTTTTTAAAGTTGCATTTCTCGGTTGTGGCTGCTTTGTGTACTTCCTATAGAGATTATCAGTGATTAGGACATCTAGTTATGAAGTGAACATTTCTACATAGTTTCCCAGGTGGTCCCCAGCACCTGTCTGTCAGCTTGGAATCCATATCAGAGGACCCTGCCAGCTTTGCCATCTGCTCTTTTTTCTGGAACTCCAGAGTCTTCCTATCTGCACACCATGCATTTACATGACGTAACTTCCCTTCATATGTTTTCTATATAGTGCATTTTTAATTGGGGGCTTATCTAAAAGTAAAATAATCTGAAATACATTGGAAGATTCTTTGAAATTCCATGTGGCCTGAGAAGTGTGTTCTCTGGACTTGACATTCAGGCTGGTGAAACATCTGCAGTCTGAATCTCAGCTGTGCAACTTTAGAAAGGCCTTACCTAGTGATGACCCTTCTCAGCAGAAAACCAAAGACAGGAAATAAACTCATTAATGTTGAAACTGCTGAATTCCAAAAAGTATACTCCTTCAGAAATACAATCATAATAAACTTCTTCTGACCACTAGTACTTCTTAAAGACCWGCAGTGACAAGTCAAAGAATTATCTAAGGATCTCTTTAAAATATAGGTTCCCCTTACTCATTCTCATAATCACTGAATCAGAATCTCTAGGGCAGGGCCCACAAACCTGAATTGGGAAAAGTATAGTGCAGGTAAGTGCTGTGTCTCCCTTCAGGAAGTCCCAAAAAAGAGTCTTATTCCTATAAAAAAACAAACAACAAAAAAACTCCATATGCGTTTAGGTTTACTTAACTATAATTGTAGTTGCCTGGCCAGCTTGGTTAGTAGAGCATGAGGCTTTTGTTAAAATACTTTTTTTCATTGTAGATAAACACAATAAACTAAATAAATAAATAAACTATTTTATTTATTTATTTATATTATCTATTTATAAATAGATAAATAAACACTATTTTATCTATTTATTTTATTTTATTTTATTTTATTTATGTGGTTTGAATATCAAACCCAGTGTTTTACACATACTGGGTGAGCAGTCTACTGCTGAGCCACAACCCCAGCCTAAGCATGAGACTCTTAACTATAATTATAATGCCTAGAAAGTTTTTGTTGTTGTTGTTTTAATTAGTGCCTAGAAAGTTTTGTTTTGCAGATTTTTTTTTTTTCACTTTAGCAGAAATCCAACCACTTTTTCATATGTTGGTGGGTGTAATCTTGCTTTGTGCCTGTTTGTGCCTCCATGACAGATGTGCTTAGTCACTGCCCAGGATCTTCATTCTGGAGACCCTTAGACATTTTGCCTAAACCAAATTCATTGGGTCTCTGCATCGGGACTTGGTATTAAGAGGTACTTATGCCCAAGTCAGGAGAGTCACAGAGCTGGTGGAACTTGGGCCTTGTGGAGTCCTAGTGAAGGAAACAGCAGCACTACCAAGTCCATTTTAAGGGTCAGTAACCAGGTATTGGCCTGTGTWTAGGGCTCTTGTCTTAGGATCTGTGTAAAGGAAGACCAAGAAGGGAAGTTGTCCAATGCTGGACTAACTGATGTTTGAGTCAAGCCAAGGAAGGGGATATCTTTACATGTCTTTGGGGTTGACCATTATAAAACTTTACCCTAGTGTGGTGGTATGGAGGATTTTTGTGTTCTCACCTGGAAGTTGCAAAGCTCATTGACAGTGTCCCTGCCAGGTCCCTTCCTACTAGGTAGACCCTCTGCTCTGGCCAGCAGTCTAAAGGATATGTTACTCTCTGAAGTTGTTGTTTTGCTATGGAACACTCTGTCCCTTTTTCTTTTTCAACCCAACTAAAATCTCTTAGCTGTGAAATGGAGGTGCAGAAGCCAAGGAAGAATTGAAGGAGATAGCAGGGTGATGTGTCACAGCAGAAAGGCACCAGGCCGAAAGTAGAGCCGAGTTCAGGTCTGCCATGAATTTCTGTGCCCTTAGATAGCCCACTTCACCTCAAGAGGCTCTGCTTGCTTCCACCATTCTAAGAGAATTATTTTTGTGTTTCTTCCCACTTTCAAATTCCTGTTGCTTCCTCTTCCTGTTACAGGCTTAAAAATAGACATTCTTTGTGAGGCCATGTTCGTACCTTGCTGGGCACCTCCCCTTGCCTTTCAGATGAGCCTTTGCCGTGTGGATGAGCACCTTCTCTCTATAATGTGTTAATTGAGAAGAGCCTGGGCCTCCTTTCTGTAAAGCAGGTGGTTCTCTACCAAGGGCAATTCTGCCTCATACCCCTATATTCCCAACCCTGGGCACATTTGACAAGGTGTGAAGACACTTGATTGTCACAACTAGAGGGTTCTATTGGTGTCTAGTGAGTAGAAGTGAGGGATGTTGCTAAATAAACCTTGTACAATGCAGGACAGACACAGACCCTACAACAAAGAATTATCTAGCCCAGAATAGCAATTTCCAGAAACCTTTCCATAAAGGGGATCAGACTTGGATTTTCTGAATACCTTTGTGAAAGTCTCTGTCTAGCAAAGAAGAAGACCTTTTTATAATGGCTTTGGATTGAGGGGAAGATGAGAGATCCTCTCAGAAGCATTCTTGACTTTTTTTTTCATCTTTATTTTATTTTATGTGGTGCTGAGGATCGAACCCAGCACCCCGCGCATGMCAGGCAAGCRCGTTACTGCTTGAGCCACATCCCCAGACCCTTTTCTTGACATTTTTGATCAGGCAGGCTGCTTAGAAAGTGGCCTGCAGCTGTTTAATCTGAATTTAAGTGAACTCCCTTCAGCCAAAAAATCTCTCTTGCTCTCTAAGAGTTCCTGCCCTGGGGTTCTATAGCAACCAGTGTTTRGATGTGGTGTGACTAGTCCCTGGAAAAGCTTCAAGTGTGTATCTTTGCACTGAAGGGATTCTTTTTTTTTTTTTTTTAATAACTTTATTTTATTTATTTATTTTTGTGGTGCTGAGGATTGAATCCAGTGCCTCATACCTGCGATGCAAGCACTCTGCCACTGAGCCACAATCCCATCCCTGAAGGATTTTTTATCTGTGGGTAGCTGCCCCTGTACATATGGTGCTCAGGGAGCCTACTAGTTTTATTCTCATTGATCCCAAATAGGGAGGGTTGGACTTTCGAGCAGAGTTCAGAGGAGCTGACTTTAAGATGGTTTAACAAGAGTAAAGTATAAATCAAATAGGCTTGTGACTTAAGAGTTCATTTTTCAGTGAGTTTCTTTTTTCAATGAGTTTCATTTTTTGCACTTTTGTCATTCTATTTAAAAATCAGTTCCTTGGGGTCTGTTGTTTATGTGCATGCAGCTTATGATGAAATCTCATGTTACTATAGTTAACAATTATTTTTTGTTTTTAAAGTAGGCTCTTGTCCCAGATATATGCTGCTGTTATTGAGGCTGTTTTGGCTGGCATTGCATGTTATGCTAAAGCTTCCAGTCTAACAAAGGTAATTTAAATACCATGTTTCTCTTTCCCTGGTCATTATTTAATGTAAAGCATCCTAACCATTCGTTTATCTTTGGACATCTTGGAGTTCTCACTTTTGTGTGAACTCGGGCCTCCATGGCACCAGGCAGAGATGCCTGTGGAGTGCTGAGCTTCTGCTGCCTATGGCCATGCTGCTGTTGTTTTATCAGTGACAACTCATCAGCACTTCTTTGTAGACATCTGGTTGTGTTAAAGTCATTCTGTAGTACATTGTTATGTTCAGTTTAAACAGAATGCTTTTAGAAGTTAACTATAGATTATTCTGCTGTGAGTTTTAATAGGTAAGTTTTTTTTTTTTTTTGAGCTACTTAGTTTGGTTTCCTATAATCCAGTGTTTAAAAAATCAACTATAGACTAGAAAATCTGACTTGCCTTTCCTAGACAAGCATGCATGTTCTCGGTCTCTGACCATTTTCTTCCTTGATGTTTCATGATTAACCTGGCCTGCTGAGTTGGATTCCTAAATCCGACATAGTAAGGAGATGAGAAGAGTCAGCTTGATGCCTCCCAATGCCAATAGGACCTTTTCTGAAGGAAACCAGTTGATATTGGAAAGGTTGTGTATGATGTAGATGTGAGAAAGACCTTAGACATAGTCACCAGCCCCTTACCATCTCCCCTCCTCACTGAACTTGAATCCTGGAATCTCTGTACTAATGCAAGATTATTCAGCCCTTTAACTTCTACCTACCATAGGGCCTATGCAAAGCCATGGGATACCCTTCTGTTCCTACACCTTTGTTTTCTAACTGATCTTTTGTAACTCTAGCTATTTAAATATTCTTAGTGTCTGGCAGGGACTAAGAGCAGTGGTCCCTCTACTAGAGTTAGGGGAGCGGGGAGCCCTTTTCTAGACTTCACATACTATCAGCATCACCCCAGCTGCTCATAYCTCTCTGGCAGATCAGGTGCCAGTGCCCATCTGCCTGAAAGCAGTTTTTTTTCCTATGAGACAAGCCTGAAGAAAGTAAGAGCCCYGTTTCCCTTAACATGATGTTTATTTACACTTTAGTCTCTTGACGTATACAGAGTAGTTACATAGAAGGCACCAGCCAACTGTTAGAAGGTCCCTTCCTGTCAGTGATATGTGTATTTTTTACTGCTTGAAAGCTAATTCATTCTCTTACTCTCTCTCAACAGGCCAAAGAGGTAGCAGAGCAGACTCTGGTATCTAAGTTAGATTCCTTTGAGCTGGTTCAGTTTAAGACAGCCCTATGGTAAGCAATGGTTGATGTTCTTTTTACAAGGAATTTTTTTGATTTGTTTTCTAAAATACTCTTGTCCCTTATAATTTATATTCCATCTTCCCTTTGAGAAATGTTTCAGTAAAAACATTCAGTAAAAATAATGATATATATGAAGGAGAATCACTCGTGATCAGGCCTTTATTTGACAAGCTAAGAGCCAAAACCAGAGGAACCATATGAGGAACACTTGCACATCTTTTGAGGCTAGAATGTGAGGCAGATTCATACCAGAACCTTAGGAGATTTCATAGGTCTGATTCCAAAATAAAGTTAGAAGGGTAAAGTCAGGGACCTTAGAGATAGATTTGTTGGGGGAAGGAAGCTGGCACATGAAGATAGTCACTGCTTAGAAGAGACTTACCATAGTTCTGATCTGCCTCTTAGATGATAGAAACCCTGAGTCTTGGGACTAGATGCTCTGGAAATATGACTTCTTGCAGCCTTCCATCACATCTCCCTGCATGTCCCTCTGCATCTCTTATAGGACTTTGTACAGAGCTAAATCTTCATGAACTCAGTCTACAATCCCCATCTCACAGGAGGATCACTTTGTGTACTTTTATGCGAAGGGTACAAAAAACATCAATATTGGAGAGTTTAAGAATACTTCTGGGGCCAAGCATATTGGCACCTTCCTGTAATCTCAGCAACTCAGGAGGCTGGGGCAGGAAGATCATAAGTTCAAGGCCAGCTCAGCAACTTAATGAGACCATATCTCAAAATTTAAAAAATAAAATGAAAGGGCTTAGGAGTGTAGCTCAGTGGTAGAGCATTCCTGGGTTTCCCTAGTCCTGCCCTCCCTCCCCAAAAAAAAAAAAAAAACCCACAAAAGACTCCTAGAGCTTAAGGATATGGTGCTTTCCTAACATGAATTCAGTTCCCTGCACTTCAAATAAATAAATAGATAGTTTTCAGYCCCTAGCACTGCAAAATAGATAGGAAGGAAGGAAGAATGAATTCATATTTCTGGGGTGTGCTATCATGCCTCCACTCCCATGACCCATGTTTTCTAATACCTACAACCCTGGATAATGAGAAGGAGTGTTTGATAGTTATATCAGTCAGTTGATCAAACAAAAAGAATTCTATTCTATTGCTGTAGCTCCAGAAGATGCAGAACTCAGTGGTGCAAGGCTTCCTTTTGCTTCAGGTCTCCTTTCCCCTGGGTCTTCTGGGTCTTTTTGTTTTGGTCRTGGAAGAGGACAGATAGGAGAAACCTTTTCCGTTAGTCCTTGTGCTGCTCTGCATTGTCTGTTACTGGCAGGTCTAAGTTTATGAAAGTTCCTTCACTTTCTGGCTATAACTTGTTAGGCAGGATAGGTAGCCTCTATATCTATTTCCTGAAACTGTCTATCTAATAGAGTGTTTAGGTATGTAGATCTTATTTGCTATTATAGTGAACTTGGCTGAAATAGTCATTCTATTTATCCTTTGCCTTGGGATTTTGTCCAGGCCACTTCTCAAACCCAAAGCTTCCTAGGCCTGAGTGTATCACCCTAACTGGAAGAAGGCATATGGAGAAAACACTGAGTAATGGGAGGAGAGTCCCTGAGTCAGTCCTTCACCTAGAGCCCCGYTCATTTCTCTCCACAAGAGTTACTTTACTGAGGACTCACACTGCATCACATTAGCAGATCACCTGCCTAGAGAGGAAGGTGGAGGGAGCCATGAATGTACACTGAAGTTAGTGTGTTACTAACTAGTACTTCTTAAGGCATGAAATTCGGCTTATATTATTTAGAAACTTTATTTTACAAAGAGTAAACCAGAAGGGTTTTCTGGTTATTCCTCAGCTCTGAAGACCTGGCACTGCCTTTGGCTCCTTAGCAACTAACTGTGAGTAGCAGAGATGTGGCCTTTGCTGGAATGTAGAGCGAAACTGGCAGTTTGACTCAAGGTTGATGAAGAGCAGGAGTTTCAGGACAGTATATATATAGAGGCTGAGGAGCAGAAGTGTTATCATGCCAGTCAAGGGCCACAGGCAGTCTGCAAGAGTCAAGATAGCCCTTGAGAACTAGCAGGCAGGGCCTGGGGTCAGATACTGGCTCCACACTTTCTGATGGCATGGGACCCAGGGAGAGGTATCTAAAATAACTGAGGTAAATCTGTGTAAAGCTAKGATAACACAGTAGTCAGCAAGAACAGACTGACTTCTATTGTGTTTTGGTTTTGGTCTACAGCTCCAAGATGGCTTTTCATATACATGCTGTGAATAATCAAGGAAGGTGAGTGTATGATTTTGGTATCTTCTTCCATGGTTAAGTTGAAGAACATAAAGAGAGGAGAGGCTGACTTGTAGCTGCAACCTTCATTGATCTTCTCACAGTTCCATTCTTGGCCAAGGTACCACTCCAGACTTGGGTTCAGACTGGCTGTAWTCATCTGAGCCTCTGCACTCTTGAGTGCTTCCCACTGGAGTAAATGAGTTCACTCCAGTTACCCACATGCTAATTCTGCATTCTGGAATTCAAAACAGAATTTCATAGTGTTTTAAAAATCCTTGAGAGAAATCTGAGTCTGTGAGTTGTTACCAAGTTGAAAAAAGAACATTGTAAGTTTTGGTGCAGTTAAAAATGTCATCTCCCATATCGTTCCTCTTACAGAATTGTGCCTCTGGAGGGTGAAGATAGTTTATCCTTTGTGAAAACGGTAAGCAGAGCTATTATATATACATCAGCTGGCTAGGAATGGCCTGTAGAGGGACACCTGAAAGGGGTGAGGTGGGAATAGGTAGGGGTGTCTATGTRACTAAGACTGTTCTGATCTCATGGAAATTTTGAGTTGAGGACAAACCTGCCTTTACCAATGGACCAACAGGTTTTAGTGGCTTCTTTTGCATTCTAAGACCTGAGTTGATGCCCTTAACAGGGAGCTGGGAAGATCCATTAAACAAACAATAATCAACAAAGGCCTGGGTCTCCAGTGAAGTGGGGCAGAATAGTTTAGAGACATAATGAGCGGTCCCTGGGATGGTATGGCATAGCCTGAGGGAATCAGAATTTTCTAAGCCAGCTTMAGCCACAAGCCAAGTGCTCTATTTATTCCACTGCATCCTGGTGTRAAGAGGGTTAGCAAACAGTGCATTAGAGGATGGTGGCTATCCAGCCAAGAATCTGGTTGAAGTATGCATGTGCACAAGTTATACCTTAAGTTTGTTCTGTGGCCACTGCCTGAGCCTTAATTCCAGCACACTTTGGTCATGGTAAGTGGGCAACTGTAGACAACTTAGTACAGATGCATTCCCATCACCATCACTGGTGGAAAAGCAGCTCAAAGGGCTTGTCAGTAGTGTTTTCTCATCTGTAGAGAATAATACAACAAGGGTAATTTGGGGGGAGGGGTACTGGAGATTTAACCCAGGGGTGCTTAAGCCACTGAGCCACAAGCTTAGCMCTTTTTTGTGTTTTATTTAGAGACAGGGTTTCACTGAGTTGCGAAGGGTCTTGCTGAGTTGCTGAGACTGGCTTTGAACTTGCAATCCTCCTGCCTCAGCCTCCTGAATAGCTAGGATTACAGGTGTGTGCCACCAAGCCTGACTAGGGTAATTTTTAAAGTTGTGAGTAATTAATGTTTTATAATGTATTTGGTCCCTGTCTGTCAGCATTTTGTGGTATTGTTCTTTTAGAACTATTTTAGACTTTTTTTTGTGATATCAAGATATTGGGAAATACTTTATGACATTGGGGTGATAATACTTTATCACCTTGCTAAATTTTAAATTCCTGACTTCTCTCCTTGGATTCTTGTGCAGTGCTTTGGAAGGTGCTTTGCACAATAGTATGTGACTAGAAGCCCAATAGAATCATATTCTTATGTTAAGTATGTATTGAAAGCTGGGCACAATGCAGTGTTACCRTAGTCCCAGCTACTTGGGAGACTGAGGCAGGAGGATCACTTGAAGCCAGGAGTTCAAGRCCCCCTGGGCAATATAATGAGACCCTGTCATATTTTTTTAGRTATGAATTTATTAGCAGCTAATGAAATAAGAAAGAGTAGTCAGGAATTTTATGCTTTCTTTCCAGGATCAGGCAGATATGAAGTTCTGCCTCTTCCTTGAAGCTTTCTCTATTGATTTCTTCCCTATAAGTACTGTGTTCTTATAGGATTTGTAGTTTATACCATGTAAATTAGGAAATAATTCTGAACTAATATGTCATTTCACTTTTCTGTAAGCTCTTGTCTCTATAGCTACACATTATAGATTTCCTGAAGAGATAGGTACTATGTTGTATTTTTTCCTCTCCCCATGCCACAAAGTGGCAAATACCTGGCAAGTATCCAACAAATGTTACATGTATTTTTTTTCCAATGTTCTCTCTCCCCCTCCTTAATACCAGTGACCAAATATGAAAGTGAAGGATCAGAAAGCCACAGGATCTGTTTACTTGAYTGATCTGGAAACCAAAGAAAGAAGTAGGATTCCCACTGTCACTTATGAAGGACCATGTAACCAGTGAAACTCTGTGTTATCAGATGCTCAAAATCCCTTGAAAGGCCTGGGGTTGGGGCTCAGTGGCAGAGTGCTTGCCTAGCATGTGTGAGGCACTGGGTTTGATCCTTAACACCATATACAAAAAAAKTAAAGGCATTCTATCCATCTACAACTACAATTTTTTTTAAATCCCTTGAGAAAGATTTAAATAAACCTTCCAATTATTAAGCCTAATCAGAAAATTAACTCAAACATAAAAGCCTACTTGTCAGTTCACCCTATTATCATGACAGCTTTGAAAATCAGGGACTTGGCTTTGATTGTGTTTTTTTTCTTTTCAACCCTTCTGTGTTCTTTACTTAAGAATCCAGCAGTTCCTAGCTGGTTACTGTGGTTTACACCTGTAATCCCAGCAACTTGGGAGGCTGAGGCAGGAGGATCACAATTTCAAGACAAATCTCAGCAACATAGCAAGACCCTTAACAAATTGATGAATAAAATAAATATTCCTCAAAATTAAAGAAACTTGGCATGTAGCAATGTAGATCAGTGATGCTATGTGACAGTAGTCCCTAGTATCAGAACAAAACAAAAGAATCCAGCATTTTCTTCAAGTGCCCCATTTTTTTTTTTTTTGTCTCTGTCCTAGGGGTAGATCAGGGGCCTCAAGCAAGGATAGTAATGTGCAGTAATGGACTTAGCTTCAGAAACTCTGCACCCCACTAATCAACAATGCTCAGGTTAAGAGGGAAAGATCCTATGCTCAGTTTAAGAGGGAGAGGACCTAACCTGATAGGCTTGTTGTACTGCTTATCCCATGTCCCTCACCAGATCTTCATGGTCATCCCATACCCAGACCCTAGCTCTGGCTTATATACTTCTACCCACTTTCTGTGGTGTTTCTTTTATTTTTCTTCCTTCCTTCCTTCCTTCCTTCCTTCCTTCCTTCCTTCCTTCCTTCCTTCCTTCCTTCCTGTTTTTTTGTTTGTTTGTTTGTTTGTTTTTTTAGAGATAAGGTCTTGCGTGTTACCAAGCTGGTCTGGAACATCTAGGCTCAGAGGATTCTAGCACTTGAGTAACTGGAAGTAGAAGCACACAACCACCATACCTGGTTTCTGTGTTTCTTTCTCGTTATCTAATATTTTTTATCAGTTGATGATGGCTCTTTATTTAATTTATTTATTTATTTACTTACTTACTTACTTACATGTGGTGCTGCAAATCGAACCCAGTGCCTCATACATGCTAGGCAAGAGCTGTACCACTGATCTATAACCAAATCCCTCTGTGTTTCTTTTTTTTTTTTAAGATTTTTTTAGTTATAGTTGGACACAATACCTTTATTTTATTTATTTATTTTTATCTGGTACTGAGGACTGAACCCAGTGCCTTATACGAGCTAGGTGAGCAGTCTACCGCTGAGCCACAACCCAGGCCCCCCCCCCGACCCTGTGTTTCTTTTATAGCTTTCTCCACAGATTTGTTCTGTTTTCTCTCCTTTTGTGCTGAGGGGCTTTCTTACCAGCTTTTAGGAGCACACTCTAATTAGAGTTGCTCTAATTTTATTTCTGGTCTACTGAAACCGGTACTTTTATTTGGTACAGTTGTTTCATGCTTACCCACAAAGAATATATTCCAAGACTCTCAGTGGGTATCTGAAACAATGGATAGTACTGTATATATACTGTATTTTTTTGTATTCGTGCATACCTATAGTGAAGTCTAATTTATAAAATCAGGCACAGTATGATGATGATAATAGTAGAATAATTACAATAATATACTGTAATAAAATKTCCAGCATTACTACTCTTATGCTTTGGGGTCATCATTAAGTAAAATATGGTTACTTGAATGTAACCCCTTTGAAAACCATGATAATCTAATAGCCGAGGTGACTATTAAGTGACTAACAGACAGTACTGTGTAAAGTACAGACACACTGGACAAAGSGATGTTTCACACTCTGGGCAGAATGGAAGAGGATAGTACAAGATTTCATCATGCTCAGAATTTAGACTTCATGAATTGTTTATTTGGGGAATTTTCTATTTAATATTTTCAGACCACATTTTACTGTGAGTACTGAGGTTGAAGAAAGTGAAACCACAGATACAGAAGGACTGCTATACTGAAAGAATATGTACTGAAATGTACACAAAAATATCCATGAAGACACGTGTATACCAAATGAATGACAGTCTTTCTGGGCTTGTTCAAAACTCAAGCCTAAACCGCTAGACAGAGTGTGACAGTATGGGGATGTGAAGCTATGAATGTGTACAGAAACTTAGTGGAAACACCACAAACTCTGATAGACTGGGTGCCAGTCATAGTTAAGAATGAAGACACCTTTAATCCTAGATCCCTGGGGGGCTGAGGCAGGAAGATTGCAAGTTTGAGACCAGTCTGGGCAAAATAACGAGACCCCATTAAAAAAAAAAGGCAGCTGTGTTGCCTCTCAGAATACTCATAGAATAACACCTTGAGAGGGCATTTATAGAAGCATAAAGATGCTCTCCTTCTAGTCCAAGTATGTCTCTGGAAAGAAGCCTGAGTGTTCCAGAAGTTCAAGGTGTATTTCAGGATAGTTTGTTTTCCTAAGAAACTTTCCAGTTTATTTTTGCCATGTGTTTTAAAGCAGTGTTTTGTGGCCTGTATCTTAGGGAACTCTCCTTGAAGGTGTTGGACTGGAGACTGCTACAACTCTGATTTCTCATTTGATACAGGCTTGTATGACTGTCTATGATATTCCTGATTTGCTGGGAGGAAGAGGGTGCTTAGGATCTGTGGTCTTCTCAGAATCATTTTTGACATCTCAGATCTTAGTTAAAGAAAAGGGTAAGTATATGTGGTCTTTATAAAGCAAACATTGGAAAAAAATTTTTTTGACAAAGTAAGCCATAAAACTAAGGCATAAGRCCAATATAAATTGATGAAAATTTTAAAATAAGCCATGGTGTATATTCAAATTTATGAAGAGCTCTTGTAAACTAATAAGAAAAAGATATGCTTCCCAGTGGGGAAATGGGCAAAAAGTGTGAACAGACTATTCACAGAAGTGAAACACAAAAAAAAAGTGAGGGGGGGGGATTTATAGGAATGAAGATATACAGCCTCAGTAATAATCAAGTGGAAGCAATTTGAAACAGTTATTAGGCACTGTTTTTTTACCCATTATGTTGGCAAAAAATATTAATTAAAGAATGGTAATATCCAATGCTGATAGGACAATCCTGATAGTGTTCTGTTTGGTTTAAATATGTATATCTATAGTACCTGTACTACCTTGATAAAAATTAAAAATAAAGATAAAAAGTGCTAATGAAGGATTCTTCACTTAAATGTGTTTCTATTTGTTCTAAAAAATACTCAAGTTAATAACCTGGGAAAACCTGTCTCTATACACTTATTAGTCTCTCTGTCCCCAGATGAGAAGTTCTCCTTTTCTGAGGGCATCGGACTCTTTATACCAATAAGAGGAACCTTTTCTCCCAAGGGGAAGGGCCTGCAAGGTGGGCTGAGGTGGTTGGAAGTAACTGGAATGTCCATGGTCTTCCTACAGATGGCACTGTTATCACAGAGACCAGCTGCATAGTCCTGACAGCTGCCATACCCAGATTCTGCTCCTGGCTGGTCAGTATCATTCATAGATGAAATTGGACCCAAACATGAAAAATACGGGGAAGACATTTGAGGAGGAGCTTTTTTGTTGGGTCCCTTGTGGGATGTCAGATCCTAAGCTAACYATCATTCAGGAGTAGTAGTTTTATTTCAGCCCTTTCTCGTTATATGAACAAATCTCATTTCTTTAGCTCTCTCATATTCTTAGAACATTTAAAAAGAAAAGAGCTATGTTATATGAATTATTAAATTGTGCAAGGAAGAAATTAATCCCCTCATGTTATGGATGAGGAAACTGAGGATTAGAAGTTGATAATATCCAGGTGATACATTTCACGACCCCCATGGGGATCTGCCTGTCCACAGTTACACAGATTGTGAGAAGTGGACCTGTAGCTCCTTGCTCTGGCCAGAATGATTGCTACTGATTTTTCACAACATCTCTCCACATGTAGAAAATTTCCATCTTCCTCAGCAGGACTTGGTCCAAAACTCTACTGCCTTGGGTCATAGAAAGCATGATAGCAGAGAGTCTGATATTTGATAGTCTAAGGGCCTAAACTTAGAATCTATTTGTATTCTATTTCTACAGTTCTGATATGGACAGGGAAGAACTAAGAGTCATCTTCTAACATGAACATGTTTAAATGAGAAAACATTCTGAAAATATTTTAATATATTATCATTTCTTCATCCCTAATAACAATTATTTTTCTTTTGAAGTGACATGTAACTGGAGATTAACACATCCTACCCACAGATCTTAGGCTCATTTGCTGGATCTGAGAATCTCAGTGAGAGAGCCTACTGTGGCCTTGTGCTCTGAGCCCTGATGAATAGCAGCCATTTCTGCCAGCATATCAGGGCCTGAGAGCACTGGACGTGGTAGAGGGACTGCCTAGATAGTCTCCTGTAGATATTTGAACACAGAGGGGGTACTCAGCAGGATTTTGCTCTTGAAGTAGTAAATTGAAAATCTGCATTTCTATTGGACACAGGTAGAAGATGATGAAGTAAAATTGTCTGAGAAAACCCAGCAAGCAGTGAGGGTAAGCAGCCTTTTTCTAGCATTAGCATCCTGCAAACATCGAATGTAAACAATTCCTGAAGACAACTTTAAAAATTTTATTTTACCACTAATCTAAGGGATCTGTAGTTCTTTGTCTTCAATTCCTATTTGTATTCTTCCCCTTCCCAGCAGACATCTGGAAATAACCACTAATAGGGGATGAAATTAGAAGGATTCTTTCTGCCATTTAGACAATTTGGGTTTTTAAAAAGTCTCCCAGTATTAATCATAGCAGATCCTAGATTGACTTAGACATGGAAAGCTGAGATGCCAAAGCTTTAGGCCACTGAGAACCTGAACTCCATTTTCACAGAAGTAAATCCACTGGGAGATGAGCAGGAATTGCAGGCTTTGGTGCCTGGACTCAGAGAGGACCTTTACATTTCTTTTCTCAGCACCAATCAAGTATGGCAGCCAGGCACACTGGTTTACACTTATAATTCCAATGACAAAAGGATTACAGATTTGAGGCAAGCCTCAGCAACTCAGTGGGATTCTATCTCAAAATAGAAAATAAAAAGGGATGGGGATATAGCTAGGTTGTAGAGTGCCCCAGTACCCCACCCCGCAAAAAAATAGATGCCAGTAATATGCCAAAAAGAGCAAATGCCAAAGATAATGGAAGAAATTGGGTATGTCTGAGTTTGACTCTGTTTTTTTACACAGACAATATTTGGCAGGATTTTTTATTCTGTATGTACTACAAATCATCTATGTTTTTGCTTTGTTGTTCTTTAAAGGGAGATGAGTGTTTCCTGGGYACTTTTCTAACAGGAGGAGAAGGAGCATATCTTTATTCCAGCAATTTACAGTCCTGGCCTGAAGAAGGTAAGCAGCTATGGCTTTTCTGTTCTTGGCTTGTCTGGATCCCTAGTTTGCGGATATTAGCATGGGTGTTATGATTAATAATACATCTGCTGTTTGAAAAGACTTATTGGAGTTGCAGTGTCTTCTTACAGCTTTTCTCCTTTGATCCACCCACTTATAGATGAGGAAACCTGTGCTGGTTTCACAAGTACAAGGGCTTGTCCCAGGACTGCACCTGGTTCTCTTGTTGCCATCTGACGTTTCTCTCAGAATGGGTTAGAGCAGCAGCATTTCAGAAATAGAATTTGTAGACCTAAACAAAATCTGGATTAGTTTTCTACAGCTGTATAACAAAATTACCACTAATTTAGTAGCTTAAAACAACACCTACTTATTATCTAACAGTTCTGTAGATTAGAAGTTGAGGCAAGTTTAGCTGGATCCAGGTCTAATTAGGCTGAAGTCAAAGATCTGCCAGGCTAGGTTCTCATCTAGAGACTCTAGGGAAGAATCAACTCCCAAACTCATCAAAGTGTTTGGTCCACAGTTCCCTCTACTGTAGGACTAAGGTCTCCATTTTGTTGCTGGCTGCCATCCAGGGACTGTTTTCAGCACCTCTTCTCAGAGGTCTTTGCCCTGGGACCATTTCTATCTCAGCAACCAGAACCAACCTTGAAACTCTCATATCATTCTACCCTCTGGCCCTCAAGATTCATATCCCTCCCTCATGTAAAATATAGTTACCTCCTTTTAAGGATCTTATCCCAATATAGCAATAGTTCAAAGTCCTAAATCTCATGGACTCAGATATCCCAAATCTCATCATTGAGATCATCTGAACCCCCCTTATAGACAAGGCTCAGGAGTGTAGTGTATCAAGTATAGCTTCTAAATTCAGATCATCTCCCTGTCTATGGATCTGTAAAACTAAAGAGACAGGTTATTTGCCCCCAGCTCTCCCAACATAGAAGTGCAACTGGTAAGTGTTCAGATTCCAGAAAGGGAGAACATAGAAGGTGAAAAGGCAACCCTAAAATCCTGGTAACAACTCCATTTTCTTGGTTAAAGTTGAGGTCTGGGAATTATCTCCTGCAGCTCTCAACTTTACCCTTTGGGCTCTTTGTTCTATTCTCTGAGCACATGGTTTTGCCTTCTGGGTTCTTGGTTCAGCCCTCTTCCTTTTCCATGAAAAAGAGTAGTTCCTTAATTAGAACTGAAGGCCTGGAAATAATTCTCAATGGCTTCAGCTCTTCTCCTTTGGTTCTTGGTTCTACCCTCTGAGCTCTTGGTTTCCCTCTGGTTCATGGTTTGTGACTTTTGGCTGTGAACTCAAATTTTCATATCTCTGTGAAAGGTAGTACCCTGTTTGTGGGTAAATAGTTCTGTCAGCCTGCTTCTTGAAGTAGATTTCTCAGAGTTCAGCAGCTTCTTTTCATTTTTCTCTTTTCTGTCTCTTTCAGTCCAAGCTGGTAATATTTTTACTGATAGTAAATTTCTCAAGAACGTTTTTTGGTCTTGCATGGATTTCATGGAGATTTACTCCAGATTCCTTTTTGGCTTCTTCAAAATACTTCCATGTGTGTATGTGGTCCTGGGGATGGAACCCTGGACCTCATGCTTATAGGCAAGCGAGCTATAGGCACCAAGTAACATTTTATTGTAAGTCCTATTATTTCCCTGTTGAATATAGTCTTTTTGTTAAGGAAGAGTTCTGATTTCACAAATTCCTCAACCTCTACTGAGCAAATCCCCTTTCTGGATGATTTGTTCTTCTTGTTGAAAATATTCTATCTGGTGGCAAATTCCTCTCCCTGTTCTCAGATCACTGGTTTGGCTCTTCCATTCATGTAGAAGACAAAGCRCAAGGAGTTCTAGTTTTCAGACCACAAAGTGCTGAGGTGGTTGTAGCATCTGTTACATGCCTATGTCATGATGGGCCTTTCATTTCTGCATTTCCAGGTCCTGGTGCAGAAGATGTGGGATTTAGAAAGATTTGTGGAAGTCACTCAGTGTGTGTCAGTGCTACCAGCTGTGGAGCAAGATCACATAGTGTTTGAAAGCAGGTTGTAGGCACAACACAGAGTTGGTTGTACACTGTCATCCTTGAGCCAGTTATAGTATTTAACAAAGACACTTGCCCAAATTAGATTGCGGCTTCTTAGCAGAGGACCTTATTAGAAAACAAATCCTACATTTTATTGATATCCAGCAAGGTTCAGTATATCCTAGGTCTCTGTTAGAGGATAAAAGACACAGCCAGTGATTTCTGTGTCCTTGTCAGTCACATTCTTTCAAGAGTTTAGATTTCAAACTTTTTTAGTTCCTGAGGGAAATCTAGTTTTCTGAGATAGGAAAATTCAATAGAAGTAAAAAATTTAAACAGGAGGCTGTATGTTAAGCATTTTACCACTTCAGGGTTTAGGACAGAGATTAACTGGGTTTGTGGGGCTTGAAATAAACATTTCGGRGATCTCTTACAAGAAAACATTGTAAAATGGGTAGGACTTTTCTCAGGTCTTGGAATGGAGCTTAGTCAGGTAAATGGWCCTGAAGCTCAAGTATCGTTAAGTGTCTTGATAAATCTGCCTCTAGTTGAAACTGGATGAGTTTGAAATTTCTGTCTTTTTCAACCCTTGAAAATATTTGTTTTGAGCATTCAAATCCTGAGCCTCATAGAAGGGGAAAACTTTACTAAGTTTGTAGTGCAAGTTAATGGCAGCATCTATAGGATTGTCCATGTCTCAAGGGTAGTTCAGGCTTTCTGACTTTTGTCCRCTGGACTACTTGGTGGTGAAAATAGTGCTTCCTTTGCATTGAAATGCTTCCAGCTCTGGAACCTTTTCCTTTTCCCAGCTAGTGGCTTCTGCTATCATGAGACTTCTTGTTATCCAGCTTCCCATTCATTCATGTCCTTCATGTGCCCTTCTCTTCCCACCCTGCTGACTGTGGCGGGGCAGGCTGCTCAGTACCTAGTCCTTAAAAACTTGCTTTAGAGTTTTTACCACATATGCCTATATCCCTAAACAAAGTCCTGTTTTTGAACTTGAACCAGATAGAATCATACTGTGTGTGTTCTTGTTCTTCTGGGGCTTGCTTTTTTTTTTTTTTTTTTGCTCAATTTTATGTTCCTAAGATTCATACAGATTTTTGTGATATTTATTTGGGAATAGTACAGCATTGCSATGGGATTCACATGCCATAGTAAACTACGGGTGTATTCAGAGTGGCTGTGGCAAGAGGAAGTTTTTAAAGAAAAAAAAAATGGGTAGGATTACATCAGATATTTTGAAACAGTCGTTGGCCACATTGATTAATAACAAGTGGCATCAGTCTAAGGTTGAACAGATGGTTGCTGAGCAGATATTCTTGGAGAAGTGTGTTTTGTGTATGGCTGTGGTGGCCTCTGTGAAAGCTTGTGGTTCTAGCAGTCTTTTGTGGTAGTTACTATCAGGCAATCATGCGCAAGAACTCTTCCTTCCATAACTTCTCAGCTTTATTTACTTTTTTTTTTTTTTTTTGGTTGTGTTGATATAAGTGACTCCATTTTGATTTCTGACAACTTTCACGTCTCTTTCACAGTTGTATGTAGCCATATAACTCATTCAACAWGGCTCTGTAGTATTCCTTGGTATGAAGATTAGCTACTTACCATTTTTACTCTTGATGTAACATTTGGATTATTTTTAGTTTTTTGCTGTTGCAGACAGTATTGTTATTGAACATTCTTATACATATTTCTTGGTTCACTTGGGTAAAGTTTTCTTCAGAATTGGAATGGGGAGGAGTAGATTGGGATTTTAGGATGAGCCCATGCACAGCTTTTATCAGTGAAGTCAGAGTGATTGTACCAAGTTATACTTCTACCAGCAGCATATAATTGTTTCTGTTTTTCAACATTTTGGCATACTTGTTTTGCTGGTGTTTGCCATTGCAGTGAGTGTATAATGCTATATCATTAGGACTTTAATTTTTATTTCTCTGGTTATTAGTGAAAGCTGATCATATTTTATTTATTGGCCTATTATACTTCCCTTTTGTAACATGTTTGTTTTTGTCTTTTGCTCATTCATTTTTGGTGTTTTTGTTGTTGTTTGTCATTGTTATTTTTAAGAATCAAAGTTCTCAGGGCTGGGGTTGTGGCTCAGCAGTAGAGTGCTMACCAAGCACATGCAAGGCCCTGAGTTCCATCCTCAGCACCACATAGAAGTAAATAAAATAAAGGTATTGTGTCCAACTACAACTGAAAAAAAAAAAAAAAGACCCTGGGTTCAGTTCCCAGTACCACAAAATAACAACAACAAAGTTCTGTATAGCCTGACCTGGTGACACGGTCTTGTAATTCTTGCTACTTGGGAGGCTGAGGCAGGAGCATCACAAGTTTGAGACGAGCCTGGAAAGCTTAGCAAGATCCTGTCTCGAAGGGCTGGGTTATTAATTTTAATGTAGTCAAAATAATTCATCTTTTCCTATGTGATTAGTATATTTTGGATCTGTTTAAGAAGTATTTCATCTCCTGTGATAATTTTTTCAGAATCCACTTAGATTGATCTTTGAAAGTGATATGACATAGGAATTTATTCTTTTGTAAATGTAGAAAAGCACTTGTTTAAGCAACAGTTGTTGAAAAGTCATTCTTTTACCACTGATCTGCAGTGCCAGCAACTGTTATAAATCAGATCACTTTATGTGTGCTCCTATTAATAGGATTTCTGTTCTGTTCCATTATTCAACTTGTCCCTGAGAAAATACCATTCTGTCTAGATTTAGATTTATAATATATTTATATATRGTGTCTAAGTCTGCTGAGACTGCCATAACAAAATATTGTAGACTGGGAGGCTTAAATAACAAATTTATTTCTCACAATTCTGGAAGATGGGTAGTCCAAGATCAAGGTATAGCAATGTAAGTTTTATTCTGAGGACTCTTGTCTTAGCTTGTAAGTGACTACAGCTCACTGTGTACAAATGACTTCTCCTTTATATCCAAAGTTTGAAAAGGAGGGCATGCTCTCTGGTGTT